TTTGACATCGATGGCTTCTTTCACCCCGTCTCTCAAACCATCTGTCCTCCCTGCAGGCCAAAAATGGCTCCTTAAGGATATACAGTAAGTACCTGGAACTCCCAACTAGTCAGTCAGAACTGATGAAGCCTCTTGGATGAAACGTCTTCAAGGAACTCAAGCAAGTCCAGCTGCTGCGATTAAACCACGAGAACAAGCACGACCTGGATGACGGAGAATCTTCACAGACATCTGGTGATATTGGACTAATTCAGCTGTACATGTTTGAAACAGAAGAAGATTAACGATCAGGAAATCCCTACCAGCATGCGTTTCTTTACAACAGTGCCGCTCAGCCGTGGTGTCGACGGGTTCTTCTGCTCAAGTCTTCCAACATACAAAAACACCATATGCTCCAACTAACAAGATGGAAGAAAAAAAGAGAAGCTTTCCCCCTGCGGGGGTCTTTAAACATACTGTCTGACTTTGTTTGTAGTCTACTGTAAATGAGACGCAGCATCTTGCGGAGAATTAAGATCCTTTAAAAAATGAATTCTTGCATTTTGTTTCTTATTCCTGATGTTCCATAGATTCCACCATCCAGCCTGTAGATGAGCATCACAGTATTTCCATCAGCTCGTCTCATGTCAGTTACGACAGCTGGGTGGTTATTGTTAAACCGCTCGGGGGAGATTTTACAGTACGATTCTCGCCTTTACACCATGAGCTAACTATGATGTGAGTTAAAGCCCGATTACTGCGGTCCAGCAGCTGCAGAACAGGACATCCTGGCACCTCGTTCTGTTCTCCAGTGTTCAAGTCCCAATAACAGCTCATCTGGGCTCGTTATCCAGAGGAATTAAAAAGTGGGGTTGCTCGGACGGAAAACACACATCAGCAGTAATCGTGTTTGTCAACCTTTGTTTTGCTCTTTGAAAAACATTCTAAATTCTTTCTCTCATTTCCTGCGATGAGCTGACCTCGTTACACAACCGAGACGAACGTTTCACCACCGTCTCCTCCTTTTGTTGTGCAGGTCTCTACCTCTTTTTGTTTTCTTGCTCTATTTGTCTGAGCCCCTCGCCTCCGTTTAAGCTCACCACCACAAAAAAATAAAAAATAAACACGCTTGATGGTTATTTTTCTTCAATCAAGCGTATGGGTTTACCCGAGTGGAGCTTAAGTGCCACTCGTGTCCTCATTAGAGAGCAGGAATGTGGGCCTTTTGTTGGAGGTGAAGACGGATGATTATGTGGCGAACGGGGATTGTGACATCCTTTTAACCAACACCTCCCTCAAGTGCGTAAACTCATTATTGTGTGCTCACTTTAAAAAAAAAAAAAGCCAACTCTGGGTTTCCACACATGTTGGCGTCTTTTGGCAGCGTGAGCGAGCGAACAGAGAGACCCAGAGGCATAAGACGAGCTTTAAAGGCATCACACCTCCTGCAACTGAATAATTAGATTCATAAGATCTTCCCTGCAAATCCTTCGAAAAAAAAAAAAAAAGGTACGGCGCATTAAAATTCATATCCAGGACCGAGTAGAACATTTTAACTTTCCAAACAAACCTTTCACTCCCATACAACCAAATCCGAGCACGGGTATTAATGTTGCGTTAATTAATCCGACTCCCAGGAGACGAACAAAAAGCCAGATGAGGGCAGAACTGAGGGAACCGAAGGCGTCGCGGCACGCCGGTTAAGACTGTGCTTAAGACTCTATTTGATCGCGTGACAGAGTCTTTGAAAAACCCTCGCGCTGATCCGGCTCGCGGCCCCTGCAGGTCAGATGTGCCCACGTCGAGCGCCGAGCTCCGGTTCTCAGCCGAGCCGACCGAGCTCGCTACTCATTTCAGTGGAGGTCTACAGGGGCCATGGTTCACTTGGCAATAATTACCCAGGCCAGCTCATGCCATCTGCTTGGAATGACTTTCTGTTTTAAT